AATTCTCATTTAAAATTCGCGCGCTGTATATTTTTCGATATTTTAAGTTTATGTAGTTTGGCAGCACTGTCCTTAATTACTATGCCAAAAATGAGCTCGATCTGTCAGACAGTTCGTTTACGGCAGCTGTTGAAACCAGTTCACCTCAGTAGTGCGTTGCGAAATGTCTTCGACGGTCGTACGACCGTCCTGGAAGGCTTTGTACCACTCATAAACTTGAGTTTTCGATAAAACTGATTCCCCATAAGCCTTTTGTAGCATTCGCAACGATTCTGCACACGAAATTTCGTTCGAAACACAAAATTTGATGCAAACTCTTTGTTCAATATTTTTTTCCATTGTTTTTTTCGCAACGCCCTACTGAGGTGAACTGGTTTCAACAGCTGCCGTAAACGAACTGTCTGACAGATCGCGCTCATTTTTGGCATAGTAATTAAGGACAGTGCTGCCAAACTACATAAACTTAAAATATCGAAAAATATACAGCGCGCGAATTTTAAATGAGAATTTCCGAAAACTTTTCGGTCTTAATGTAGAGTCTACCACAGAGGGACCGGTTTTGAATTCGCTTAATTATTTATAAAATAAATTAATTAAGAATTACTGTATGAGACCAAATGGCGTAGTGTTCTATTTTATTATTCTTGTTTTTTGTCATACCTCTACTTGTCATGAGAGAATTTACTGCTTAAACACGACTTCTTTCATAACATACATTATATTTTTTTTTATCTATTTGTACTTGTCGAATTCACTCAGTTTTTAACTATTTTATTGATATCAATGCATTTTTTCTAAGCGATTCTGATTTTATTTTCTATGAATAACAATATACTAACATTTCTTATTATCATTACTTCGTTTTGTTTTAAAAGATTTCAAAATAATCCAATTTCACCACTAAAAGGAATTTTTATCTTTTTTTACAATACGATTATCACCTACAGGATGTAAGGATATCGCATCATTTTATTCTCTCACCCAATAAAAGAAAAAAATAAAAATTACATTGGAATCGATTGAATAGTTTCTGAGTATACTTGCTCTCCGATAGGTGGAAAGCATCAACGCTATCATTTGAAATCATAACCTACTACAACACCTTCTCCGGAATAAGTAATGAAGATTCTAGCTATTAAACCATGAGGTTAACAATGTTGAAAACCTTATACGAGTCATCAAAGATAAAGGTAGGAGTTAATATACAAAAGAATTAGGAATCTAAATTAGTTCAAGCTAAGGTAAAACTTAAATTGATGAAGAAGATGGAAAAATTGTGAAAATAACAGGGAAATTATTATGTGTAGGCTTTACAACCGGGATCACGAAAACAGCGTTTGAAAAAGGCAATGATAGAACAAACTGTATGCACTTCACCAAACTTGACTGGGTGTTATTGTCGGGTTTATATTTCATACCAGAGATCAAATCTTAAAGAATAGTGCTAGTGTGAAAAATGTCAGTAGGACGGTTATGTGGTCAAGTAATGAAGGTAGACATTCGTTAATACGAGTGTTTTAAGTCTAAGGAATTAGTAAAGTATTTACCGATATGGTTGTGCTCATAAAGCAATTTCCGTGTGCATTCCCTTTTTTATTAATATTTCGTACAATTTAACTTTCAAGACTATTACTGATTATTGACTTTTAATAATTTGACTTTTATGATTTAACTTCCAAATTTATTTTTGTATGCATATTAACTGTTTTTCGACTATAATTTTTATTTTCCGTACTTGAAGTTTCAATTTTTTAAACTAATTTTTCGATATTGTATTTACATTATAAATGTAAATAATACATTTACGCTTTTCACATCTAAAATAATTTTTCATTTATAAATGGTATGTAAGTAATTATGTGTATGTATTATAATATTTTATTTAGAAGAATGTTTATATTCGATAACCTTTTTGACACTTTTATTGAGAAACAGAGATAAATCTCTCGCTACTTTTATGCATAATGAACAATTTTATTCACTTAAAATCAATTTAAAATATTTATAAAGATATTTGATATATCTTAACACAATTAATTCATAATATTCTATATATTCCCACATAGGGGTCTTATATATATTTCTTTATTTACATTCGACTTGAGTTTCATGGTTTTTCAATCACATATTATGTCTCTTTGACAACAACTGGGATGCGGTTTACTTGTATCAAAATCAGCTACCCGACAATTTGGTGGTGCACCTATTACACCACAATCGGTAATGCTTCCATTTCCTTCTTCATCGTGGCACACCAATTCAGCACAGGTACCAGAAGGTTGCAATTTTTCACCGGGTGACATTACGTTGCCATCGATTACACATTTACCGGGATGTTCTAAGTTGATGATTATCATATTTAAACTTAAATTTGGTTTTAAATAATAATAAACAATATTAAATAACTAACTTGGATCAGAAAATTTTCCAACAGAGGCAGCTGCATGAATGCTTGTTGCTAAAAAAGCTATCAAAATTGTTGCGCATAGCAAAAGTCTCATCTTGTCCCACTTAAGATTAAACACAAACTGATAAAACAAATCTTTTTAAAATTGTATTTATAGAAAAAGTATTAATTACTAATGAATTTGATTAAATAACCTGCTTCCAAATGCATTAAAAATAGTGAAGATGCAATAATTATTAAAATATTTATATTAGTTGCCTATAATTCACAGCTCAACGTAAAAAATCTCATATTGTCATATTATGTAAATAATTTTAGTAATTGTAATTAATTTTAGATTAGATAATAATAGCTTATGGCAAACTATCTGAGCAATAATACGAATGAAAATAGTAGGAATAATGGTAATGATAATTTTTTAATATAATTTTTAGTGAGGTATATCCCCACTCTATATAGTATATTTGTCAAAGCTTTTAGCTGCCCCCCTCCAATAAATTGTTTTATAAACACAAAAGATAGTTAATAGGAGGCCAGCTTTCATTTGTTTAATAATCAAAAGCGCTCTTAGTGAATCTGTGTAGAATCAAAACAAGCATTCTTATTAAATAGCACAGTATGGAAATTAATTTATGACATGTAGATCCATCGCAGGTAAGAATTGGGGATGTACACCAAAGTGACTGCGATGGATATACACAGCAGTAATCAGACCAATGATCACCTACGGATCAATAGTCTGGCAGAACTGCACAAATCAACAAAGCGTTATCAACACACTCAACAAGGTACAACGACTTGCATGTGTAAGCATAACAGGAGCAATGAGAACATGTCCCACGTCATCAATTGAAGTACTCCTGGAACTTACTCCTCTTCATATCTATGTGCAATCACAGGCGAAGAGGGCTGCTCTAAGAGTAAATACAAATAAGGTGACTGGTCTTGAAACCAATAGCAAAAAACTTGATACTTTGGCTGCACAAATCCCAGAAATTGAAATGCCAATGGACAGGATGACTGTAAAGCATAACTTTACAAAAAACTTCAAAACTGAACTTGGCAACAAAAAGAACTGGGAAGGTTTGTCTCACACCCCAAAAATAAAAGAAACCACGATAACATGGTATATAGACGGCTCTCTTACCAGTGAGGGAGCTGGAGCTGGTGTTTATAGACAAGGCAAAAAATACTGGGAAGCATTAGGAAACAATACAACCATCTTTCAAGCGGAAATATACGCGATAGATAGATGCGCCAGTTTCAATCTTGAACGTAACTACCGGAACCGTAAAATTGCAATACTGACTGATAGCCAGGCAGCTATAATGGCACTCATATCTTACCAGGTAACATCCAAACTGTTATGGGAATGCATTGACAAACTGAAAACACTCGGTGGGATCAATCAGGTGCACCTTTTATGGATTCCGGGACATACTGGTATCCAAGGTAATGAAATGGCAGACAAACTTGCAAGAAGAGGCCCGGCATCAAGAATGATAGGCCCAGAACCATTCTGTGGTCTAGGCAAAGGAGCTCTATCCATTATTATGAATGACGCAGAGAAAAAAGAGAGAGAACTCTATTGGGAAATGCTACCAAGACTCTCACAATCTAAAATGCTTTTAGGGACTTACAACCTAAAACGCTTTAAAGATTGCATAGTACAATCAAAAACTAACATATGAATTATTACGGGATTACTGACCGGTCACTGCAGATTGAATAATTACCTCTCGAAGTTAGGAATTCAATCCAATTCATACTGCAGATACTGTAGGGAAGAGAGAGAAACGGCATACCATGTGCTTGGGGAGTGCCCGGCACTGATGCATAAACGAAAAAAACACCTAGGAGGATATTTCATGGATCATAAGGATTCAAGACTGGGGAAGATAGGATCCATACTGTGTTTCATTAAAGAAATCGGACTTGGAGAAATACTCTAACCTGACAAAGTGGCACAATCTTTCAGATTTTTCAGGTCGCAGTGCACGATCCCTTAGTCAATAATAATAATAATGGAAATTAATTTAATTTACTAACTCTTTCTTAATAATTTCACTAACTAATATCTTTGTGTTATTACATCGCATAACAACTATTTGCTTAATGAATGTATTAGACAAAGTACAAAATTTATTAGTATAAACAACTAAATAGCGATAATGTATATACTTATGCATTTCTAAATCCAGACACAACTATACACCTTGCGTTCTTAAAATATTAAGATTTCTGCTTAATTAAAGATACATTCAATTTAATTTTTTTCTTTCAATTTTCTGCTATAGATATTAAATATTCAATAATATTTTAATATATTCAAGAGCATTCAAAATAAAAAATTATTATTTTTGTCATTTTAAGTTAATATATTTGCCAAATTTTTTTTTTTAATAACATTTGCCAGGGCGAGGACAACACTCAGGATAACGTTTAGTAGAATCTTGCTCTATTTTACAATTTGAAGGAACACTTAAAACACCGCATCTACAAAAATATTTGATATAATTAATAATGAACTAGCCATTAATATAATACATAGTTTATCATATTAAAAACTTACGTATACATGTGTGCACTGCCAGATGAATCTTCACAAGTCCATTCTCCGCACGTATTAGGTGGATAATATTTCTGTTTAGGTGACAAAATATGTCCATCTATGACACATTTTCCTGGATGTTCTGCAAATTGTGCCAATATACGATGAAAATTGATATTTTGATTTTTTATATATTGAGTTACATATATCATATACACAATATATATTTAAATATATATGTTATTGTAATTATTATCATGTCTTACTTGGATCTGAACCAATTGCACGCAGTACAGCTGCATCAATGGTTCCAGTTATAGCAATGGCTAATATTAAACAGCAAACTAAATATTTCATCTTTTATTCAATAAAGTAGAATGAAATCTGATTTGATTATATTTGCTGATTTAATTTATATATTAAATTTCTTTCGGTTTACTTTGAGAAACATACTTTTTTTTATTATTTTTAATAATAACATTTCAAATTATAACAACAGCACTTAACACTCAACTTGGAAATCCCACAGAAAACGAGATCCTGTGCGCTACAAATTTTATATTTTAACATTAGTTTTATAGAAAGCAATTATAGAACCTTAATAAACATCTATACTTATACTCATAGCAATATAATATTAACCATTGAATTTTTTTCAATCAGTAAATAATCAAATACTTTCTTATTAATTTCTGAGTTTCAATTCAGATACATTATAGATGAAGATATAATTAGAACAATATATAAGTACGAAAAAATTTACTAATAAGACCCAATTGATTTCTTGGAAGACCCAACAAAAATTTCTATAAAAATAGTTTATTTATCACGTATAATATTACATCTAACTATATATTTACTTTCTGCTCAAAAACTACTTGGATTTTGTAAATAATTTATAATAATTTATTTTATCTCTTTCAAAATATGCTCCTTCTGAAGCGATACAGATATGCCAATGCTTAACCCAATCTTCCATACACTATTCGTAGGCCCGTGCAGGTATGGCTTTTAGTTCCTTCAGCGAATTCTCTTTTACCGATTTAATCGACTCAAAACGCTTACCACGAAGTGGCAATTTGTGTTTCGGGAACAGGAAAAAGTCGCACGGATCCAGATCTGGCGAATATGGTTCCTGAGCGATGACAGTGGTGCCGTGTTTGGTCAAAAAATCGCGTACAACAAGAATTTTCCATAGTAAAAATCGCTAAATGCACTTGAGGTAGTCTCACATTAACAGCTGCTGTAAACAAACTAATTAACAGATGGCGCTCAAATTTGTACCATATGTCAAAAAATGGTGTACCAACATAACAAAAAAAAAAATTTTAAGGAGTAGTTAACAAACAACAAAATCCGGGTACTTTTTGATCAGAAGGTATTATATGATAATGGTAATAGTTTATGTGTTAAGCTTAGGCCTTAATGCACTGCGGTCAACTTGATCTATTGTGCACCACTTTGTGGATATTTAGAAGTTTAGTATATCGAAGAAACAAACCAACTCTTTCGGAAGGAGCTTTTGAATGTCTTCATCTGTTAGTAAGTATGCAGCTAGAATTTTGTGTCTTACAGTACAGCACAGTTGGTGAACAGGTGTTCTAACACTTTTCCGGCTTCAAGCCGACTGCTGATTTTTGATAAACTGCAACAACCAGAGTGATATTACATTGTATTTTTTTGAAATATTTTTTGTTATCATATATTGTGTAATTGTTTCTATAGCTAAATATATATATAATACATCTTAAATATATTTTTTATAACGAGGTTTTTTCGAAGTAGTGAACTACAACAACAAAAATTCTTTTTTTTTATATTATTTTAATTAAATGAATTTTTGGTTGGTCATATAGTTCTTTCGAGTTTTGCCAAATACCCATCACCAGTGGTCAAACTTGTGTCCTTCCAAATTTGAAGCTCAGAGTCAGCTTTCATTAGCCAACTGATCCAAAGCCGTAATTGACTTTTTATGTTTCCACATTTCTCTGGACTTTTGTTAATTAGCTGTGAAAGTTTTTTTAATAACAAATCCACGTTTTTATTTAATTTCATTCCCGTGCAGATGTTCTAAGAATATATTTGTGCTTTAAAAATATTTTTCATTTTATATTTTAATAATAATACAAAAACCAGAATAACAAATCGCTGTTTTCAATGTTTTATACGCATATATTTAAATTTGATATAGAAATACGGTGTGATAAGTATCGACGAGTTAGAATATTAAGTTAAAATTATATATCCACCTTCATTAAATACTTTACTTAATGTAGGAGCTATTAAGTTCGAAGTGGAATTGCGCTTTAAACTTTACATACATACCTATGTGTAAGATCTCTTGTTTAAAGAGAGATTAGTAAACAAATAATTAAACTCAATATCACCAAATAATATAAAAAACGTTCGTATTAAAAGAGCAAGCGCTTATCAAATTAAAAACCAACAATTTATATTTTATTTGGAATTTTAAATCTAATAAATTAATTTATGTTCGAACGTCTCATTTAAAATGAAAAATGATAACCGCATCTGGTTTTTCTCATGAATATTATGAGGTCGCCTGCACAACATTTCTCATAGCCAGCACGTGACTATACATATGTTTATTGTTATATGATTACTTAACATACATATAATTGCTTTAAAAAATTACAAGATTACAAAATGAGAGAATTAAACGAGACACGTGCCAATGAAGCATGAATCTTCCCAAATCATATTTAAATCTCAGCTTAGACATATAAACCGAATAAATAGAATAAATACTTTCATATGTTGAGAAATTAGAATTGTTTACCACTTTAACTACTTTATTATTGTATATACTTTTCTTAAGTGAATATAATTAAAACGAGATTTAAAATTGGAGATTCAAATTTTATTTTTATAGTTTTTGTTATTTTAATCCATAACATTAATATATAATGTTTCAACTAAGACTTCGATGAAATTAAACTTTAGTCGTAAAAAGGTTAATCTTTCATGATTTAGGGTTTTTACTAGTTCTTGAGTTACTGTTCACGAGGGTCAGTATTTATATTTTGAGCCTAATAATCAAAAAATACTAACTAAAAACACTAAATACTGATAATTGCTTTATTGTTCCTAGAAGTATTCTCCTTTATAATTAATACACTTTGGCATGTGGTTCCAATTTGTCAAAGCATTTTTTTCAATCTTCTTCAGACACCTCCAAAACATGGTTTTTAAATGCAACAATGACTTCTTCTACCGACAAAAATCGTTGTTCACGAAATTTATTCTTGACTTTCGGAAATAAGAAGTCAATTTTTGAATGATCAAATAGTCGGTTGTTACTCGTACACGATATGTGTGCGCAATCGTATTCTCACCACGGAGAATAATACGACGGCGTTTCTTTTTTCCGTATTTCACTGAAGACTTCCGGTAAACAAATGGTTGTATACCATTCGGAATTGACCGTTGTACGTTCCTGTAATGGTATTCGTATAGTTCTCACATGACCAGTTTTCCAAAAAAAAAAAAACAAGCGACCATTTGTTTCGAAGTCCTTCGAGCGCGAACAACTTTTGTCAATTTTGGTTCATCTTGAAACACCCATACAGTCGACTGCTGTTTACGTTCCGACTCATATCCATATATCCATGATTCGTCATCTGGTTCAATCTTATATACATCTTTGAAAGCACCATTATTGTACTTCTTGAGAATTTTTTTGCACCAATCGACAAGAGCACCTTTTTAAGATTTTGTCAAATAATGGAGTATGGGATCCAACGAGAATAAACCTTTCTCATGGTTAAATGATCGTGCAATATTTTATATATGCTGATGACGATCTTGCATTACGATTATCAGTTTTTGCACAGCATCAAAATTTTCTGGCAAAAAAACGGATTTTGCACTATCTTCACGAATTTCGTCAGTGAGTGTCAGTAAACTGCGGCCATGATTAAAATTATTGTACCAGCGTTTTACAGTGGCAAAGGATAGACATTTGGCTTCATCGCCATATAATAAGTAAGTTGATCGATGCGCTCTTGTCTTGATAATCCACGTCGAAAGTCGTAATAAATTATTGCAAGAAAATTTTTTCGCGTTAATTCCAACACTCAATTTGCAAATCACTGTAAATATGCGAAGACGAATAATACTCTTCTGACAAATACTCTAAGGTAGGTTATATTTAACAATGTCAAACTTTCGTATGGAAACTTCAGATGACCCGGACAACAACCAGTGTTGCCAAGGCTCAAAATATAAATAGTGACTCTCGTAAAAATAAGATTAAATAGCATATTAAAAAATATTATTAATTATATTAATTACTATCAAATATTACGAACAGTATGGTAAGAATTTTTTTTCTTCTTAAATTGATCTATGATTATTGTATATTAATAATTTTATAGAATTGTGTCAGCTTTTAGGTTGATATTTTAAGCCACATAAATATGTATTCTGGTAAGGCAATCAAAACCATATAGTGGATAAAATGACGTTCTTAACCGTCTTGAGAAAACCTTATATATCATATTAATCATAATAACAAACCATTACCGCCATTCCTTCTGTTTGAGTATAACGATTAATGAAACAGAAAGAAAAACTCATCAAAATGCCTTGATGCAGGTTATACACCCAATTGAACAATATCATATTTCTGGATAAATAAAATATTTTCCACAGAAAGTTTTAATGGATTAAGCAATTTACGTTCGTATTCCCGCTCTGGCAACAAAAAGGAAATATTTTCAAAAGAATATTATTAATATTTTTTACTTAAGTATTCCTTCTCTGTTAATGAACTTAAGCTATATTATGATTATTAATCTGTCTTAACTGCTAAATGTTTTTTGTTCTTAATATTTATTTTTGAAACGGTTTAAATTTAACCAGTTTTACCGGCTTCTCACCTTTAGCGTTAAATACAGCTTTGTCTATCTCCAGTGACGATTTTATGTTAAACCAATTTTAAGTGTTTTTCTCAGATTATGCATTACTCATTAGTAGTAAATTTCCCACGTTAAAAAACAACATAACTCAACTTTACTACAACACGAGAATAGAATTATTTATTACATTGAAGAAAATAAATATTTAAGAATCTTTACGATACTTTTTGTACTGTTACTGAGATATAGATAACTTTCAACCGCACATATTATTATAAATTTTACGCAACTTTTTTTTATTAAAATTATTTTATAAATTTTATTAAAAGTTATTAAATATAAAGTCTGTTTTTTTTTATAATATAACTTGCAAATACTACTGCATTTACATTACATATCAAATCTATTATAAATCAATCACATATTAATTCTCTGTGGCAGCATCTAGGATGTGGTTTGCTGAAATCAAAATCAGCTAACCGACAATTCGGTGGTGCACCTATTAGACCACAACCCGTACTTCCTCCACGGCCATCTGCATTAATACATTCCAATTGCTGACAAGTGCCTTTTGGCTGAAATTTTTGCCCAGGTGACAATATATAACCCTCTATTACACATTTACCAGGATATTCTAAATGGATAAATATAGATATGTTATTACATATACATACATATACGGTTGAGTTTTTTTTTATAAGAGATGAATAACTTACTTGGATCAGCAAAAGTTCCTATGTATGCTTGACCGTAAATAGTTATAGCAAAGAAAGCTAACAAAACCGTACCGCACAACAAAAATTTCATCTTGTTCAATATAAGATTAAACTCAAACTAGCAAAACAATCTGTGTCAGTTGAATTTATAGCAAAACTTGAGATTACCAATGAATTCAAAATAACTAAACGACTTCCTAGTTAATTAAGACACAATGTAAATGCAATATACATATAGTAAATTAATAATATTATATTATCATTTAGTCGTTGGTCAATGCTTTGCTTATTGATTAATATAAACAAATTTAATCTCTTGACAATATTTTAGCTAAAGTTACAATCGGTTCACTAGATTATATAGGTACATATAGGTATATATATATATATATATATATATAAATGAAAGATTCATTGTAACTTGAATGAGAACTTAATAAAAATAATTGCAAATAAAGTTAATAAAAAACACAATATGATAAAGGTAGACAATGAAGTTTTAAGAAAGTACTTTTATGTATCCAATTTACTAAAATCTGTGGACTGCATTACTTCTCTGCTACTTGAACTTATTATTATTTAAGTAATAGGCTATTAAAGCACCCCGACCTAAAAGATCTATTGTGCGCCTAAAGGCCCCATTAGGACAATTTTAGACTATTTATAAATGTTGTAATGGCTGGGAGCTTAATTTTACTTATTTGACTTGGGACTAAGATCCCGCTTCCAAGGTAATCGAGTCTACGTGTTGCCACTGCTGGGCAGTTGCATAGAATATGTTCTGATGTTTCTTTCTCCTCATAACAGAGTTGATAGGAGTCACTTTCTATCACACCTATCATCTTCATGTAGTAATTACGTCTACAGCGTTCTGTAAGAAGTTCAGTGTAGATTTTAATATCGTTTCTGCTAAGGCCAAGGATAGCAACAACTTTAATGTGATCAGGATCAATGAATCTTTTTGACAGTCGCATGCCTGTTTGGTACATGAATTTCAGAACTGGAACTGATTTTTCTTCAATATCTTCAAATATTTTTTATTTGAAAGAATTTATTTGATATTATAATATTAATTATTAATTGAATTTTCTTCCAATAGAGTTCAATATAATTAAAGTTGCCAAACAAAAATATATTTTTAAGATGTTTTTATACTAATAACTATATTTGTATAAAATAATATTAAAATACAATAAAAATGATTTTATATTGTATAAAAATATAAAATCGCTAAATATAGATCGTTCAAATGCATACCAAATGAAATTCCCAACCGTTTCTATTTTAGTTGGAATTTCTCAAATGACAACTTGCTCATAAATAAATTTAAAATGAAAAATTATAATTGCATCTGGGATTTCCTGCTAAGATCAGAACTTGTTGAGACTGTTCTCATACTCAAAAAGTGACTATACTTATGCTTATTTTTATATTTTATACCACTCAATAAAATTGTAACATAAAACTTACAAGATTCAAATTAAAAAACTAACCTATTAACTGAAAAGTTGAAGTGGCACGCACCTGTGAAAATTATTCCATCTTACTTAATATTTGAACATATAGTCTTTAAATACCTTTTACTTAATTCACACAAGAGTTTAATTTGTAATTTTAGCTGTCAAAAATTTTCATTTTGCATTGAAAGCAACAACAATTGACAGCTAAAATTACATACATGACAGCTGAAATTGCAAACAAAACTTTCGTGTGAATCCAGTATTATACTTTTGTTCGTTATAACTAAATAGATTTTTGTATCTTTATAGGATGTATCAAAATAGATGTTTAGTTTATTATATGTAGAATGTGCAAATATAGATTTGACCTATATAAACTGAATAAAGATTTATTAACATAAATGGCATTATATGTTTAGTTTAATCTGCCGTTTTATAGATTAAATCATATAATTTTACATTTAGTAGATATGTTAACAAACGAATTGATATGGTAGCGAAAATGCTCAGAAACACTTTATTGGATGGCATTAGGTATGGAGATATACGGACTAATTTTTTTGATTACGGAATTTAGAAACCGCCTATTCAGATTGATTCTATCATATGTTTACTAATTATGTTAAGCGTTAAATTCATAATGCAAGTATAGATGTGTGAAATATATGGTTTTTGACCTTTGTTGCTCGATAAATTTCTTGACCATTTCATTTCAAATTGTTGTGATATGAATTGACCAAAAAAGCATGCGATTTGTCACTAGTGGTAATTTTTTTATAAAGGATATTGTAGAGTAATTCTCAGCTATGCGTAGGCAAGCTATCGAAAATCATCTTAACAAGCTCCAATATTGGAATATGTCATATGAAATACATTTGAATGATGTTAAATTTTGTACCTAATGTCCAAAACCAAAAGTCCAAATAATGATATAATGCTATAAAAATGTGACCAAATTCTCAATCACAAATGTGTTTTACTACTTAAGCACACTTTATGAATCGAAAATGGATAACCCTGTGCGTACCTATATATATTGTGTATATGTCGATGATTACATTGTAATAAAGTGTTAGAGAGAAAATAAAAAGTATTTCGTAGCATCTTTTATATGCCTTTTTAAATAATAATATCCAGATAATGTTCACAGAGATTGTACATTCTTCATATGTTGGACGAAAATGTTCGATTTTGCTTTATTTTGATCAGATAAATATTTTGGTAGACTTCGTCAACCCTTTAAATATCATATATATTTTTATATACTTTTTAAAAAAGTACATAAAATTAAAATGACTAAATATAACAACTTTTAGTGCTTGATATATCATACCGCTCAGATATTATAGCAACTATGGTATCAATTGTATATTGTATATCACTTGTGGAAGCACTTGTACTCATCGGTTTTTCGTTTCCAAATTTATTGCGTTAAATACATACAACTCTTTATTTATGCGAATTGTTTTAACTTAACGTCATTGTAAATTTTTAAAACTGATTACATATTTCCATGTAAGAATTAAACATTATATCAAATGACATAAATCGATTTAATCTATAATTCAAATATAATACAGTACTATATATTTAAGACCCTTTGAATAGTTTGCAAAAGCCCTAATAAAACATTGTTAACTCTCTGCCACAACCGTCATATCAATTTACTTCATTTTTATAAATTTTTATATTTTATTTAAAGAATATAAATTAATTTTTAAACAAGACAAATTCATATCATATCTTTTATTAACTTCAACATTTGTTTTATTACCATCTCTATTTACAAGTCTTGAGAGTTTATAGCATGACACTCAACCCTTTTTGCATGAAGGGGGTCCCGGACAACACTCGGGATGTAGTTTATTACGAGTATCATAAGGCTCTAACTCACAATTTGGAATTCCAGGAACTGCTACACCACACCCATTAACCCAACCGCTCCCTTTTGCATCGTAACATTCCCAAGTCTCACAAATATCTCTTGACTTATATACTTCTCCAGGTGACAAAACACGATTTTTTATAACACATTTACCAGGATATCCTAAAACATTATTTATATTATACATATATCTGAATTAAGTAATTTTTACAATAAAAAGATGAATTACTCTTACTTGGATCGGAAAATGTTCCGGTGTAGGCATAACCGTGAATAGTTACAGCAAAAAATGCTAATAAAAGTGTACCGCGCAGCAAAAATTGCATCTTCTTCAATATGAGATTAAACTCAAACTAACGAAACAATCTCTGCGGGTTGAGTTTTTAGCAAAACTTGTGATTACCAATGAATTTATTGTAAATGCACTATAAAGTATATTAATATCAAAATATATTATCATTTAGTTATTGACTCTCTAAGTAACTCTCAGCCGAAACCGTCATATGAATTTATTTAAGTTATATAAATTTTAATTAAATTTTTTAAATCTATTTTTCAATCTAAATTTTTAGCCTACTGATTAATTTTTTTTTACTATTTTAGTTTATTGAATCTTCTCTAATGATTAGATACTAGCAATAAATGATTAAATCTTAAAATGCATGCATTACAATTTATATAGCACATACAAGTACAAGTAAGCAGTAATTCTGATATTAAGGGCCTCACCAAAAACGGTTCAGAGCTAATTTCGAAATAAGGAATAAAATGTTTCCGAAATTTAATTTGAATAGCTTCTACTTTATTTTGATTTACAATAAGTAAATCAAGTTTTCTAACTAAAGGAGTTTCTTGAGAATACAGCTTTTCAGGACATTCTGTTTTCAATTGTTCAGATTCAAAGTTTAAAATTGATTTCTGAGAATGTTTTCGATTTTGATATGTCACAGTGCTTTCATGTTTAGATTTAGTATTCTCGACTAATTCCTTTGCGATATTCGGTAAATTGTAGTTACAAAAAATTGAAGTCCATATGTCTTAATTGGGTTAATGGTAAGAAGACCTTATACACTACACTTGAAGGAGATTGAGTACTAACTTGTTAGATAATTAAGTTACTTGAACTTGTATTTGGATTATTCTTGTTTTGAATTGCTTTCAGTAAATTAGTCCTCAGTGTAAGTGAATGTCTAGATAGGTAATAACATTCACTAAAGGTACTAATATGCTATTTAGACTAACTAGTGGGCAGTTCCATTTCTGCTTGTTAATTTTAATATCTCATTGAATTAGTCATTTTTCTGACAGAAGTAGATGAACTTCAAGTTATCTTTAAACTTCTTAAAGGTTTTTGTGACAACATGAAACTACTGTCATTAGAATATTATTAAATAACCAGGCTATTTATTAATTAGTGATTAATGTGAACAAATTTGAAAAAATAGGCGATAAAAAAAATTATGTATAAAATCTAGAACAAAAGTTTTCTATATGAAAAATCAATTTTAAGAAGGAGAACGTATAGATTGATTGATAAAAAAAAGTACCAACTACTTTCTGTTACATTTTTGAACAAACATTTTCTTGAAAATCAATTTTAATCAAGTATATATTGATCATAATTATTTATGATTTCTACCATTTTTGAGTGTCTTCATAATTCTGTCGGTGTAAAAAATCAGCAAAAAATTTATCAGTAAAAAAATGTAGGCCATAGATTTTCAAAGGCTATTCAGGAAACCAATTTTTTACCATTAAGAGAGTTTTGCAGAGACCGTAATAAATGATAATCAGATGTTGCAAGATTCGGGCTATATGGTGGAAACATCAAAACTTACCACCAATTTCCGTACATTTGTTTCAAGTCAAAAAGGTTGTGTGTGAACTTGTATTGGCACGATGGAATACAACATCAAACAACAAATTCAATTTTATTGTCCAAATCTAGTGGCTTCCTTGATTCTTCCGGTTGATGAAAGAACTCCAACACGTAGCTCGTAATAAACAATTCCTTTCCTATCTGACTGAAAATCGTTTGGCATCTCAGACTTTGAAGTTGGTTATTAAGGGCCAACGATCTTTGAGCATGTACATTTCCATTAAATATTTTCATATTTATTCATTTTATATTTTCATATCCATTTTTTATCGTCCACAGTGATTTGCTTCAAAAAAGATTCGATTTTTCAGCAACTTTTCACTGAAATGCAGACTTCAATAACACCTTTAGAGACTATGTATTCCTTTTTTAACAATTTTGCCAATATAATCCAATTTTTAAGCATTTATTTTTCATAAAATTTATTTATTAATATTATAAACAAAACTTTACAAAATCTAAATTATAATATATATAATTCGAATATAATTTATTGACATATAATAGTTATCCCATAGCCTTCCGACACTATGCAATATTTAATAAAACATAGTTAATTCTCAGTGACTACCGTCATATAAAATTATTTAAGTTTTAAATTCAATTTAAATTTATTTGGAGTATTTAAATAAATATAATTCATTTTTTTTTGTCAACTCTATTCACAACTCATTTGAATCGCGTATACATTTAACCACATCTTACGTCCCTGTGACAACATTTGGGATGAGGTTGACTGTAATCATAGTCATCCATTTTACAATTTGATGGCACATTAACTGGACCACAACCGGTTATATCTCCAAGTCCATCTTCATCATAGCATGCGTATTCTTTACATTCGAATAGCGGTTGAATTTTTTGTCCAGGGGACAATATGTGACCTTCAATTACGCATTTACCTGGATGTTCTAAATTTATGAAAATATGTATTTATATTTAGATGTGATGTGTTTGTATAAAAGAAATTTAACTTACTTGGATCAGAATAATCTTTTACATACCAATCACCATTAACTGTTTCTGATAAAAAAAGAAATAAAATTATACCGTATAGCAAAAACTTCATCTTATTCCACTTCTATTAACGTAGCAATCGGCATCAACTGAATTTCTGGCAAAAATTTTTGATTATCAATTAATTTATATTAAGATAACCCTTCCTAGTGCATCTAGAAACAATAAAAATGCATAAAGAAATACAAAATTCAGTGCTTAAATACAGTGTAATCTCTATTATCTGGAATGATCGGTACCGTAAGCCAGTGGCGGAGCTAGACCAACTCTGGACATCGACGACATTAGAATTGAGAGGCCCCCTTTATAACCCAGTTGTAAAACTAAATAAGTTACATTCACTAATATGACAAAGCATGATTGAAAGTTTTATTGCTAATCTTTTACTTTTAGCTTCACATCATTTTTTTTTAAATTATATCATAATTTGCGCCAGCTGCTATTTTCGCTTGAGTTTATAGAATTTCGAATGGAGATAGTCTCTCTTGGATCATCATAATTTTCTAGTACGTCTTAATCAATTTTAAATTTGAAAAGCTTCTTTCCGTCGAAGCTATACTGACTGGAACTATAAACATGAATCTGGTTACTATATAAACATTCGAAAATATTTGAATATGGTTAATGCCATAATCAAACCAAATTGTTCAAAATATTTACTTAGTTCTTAGAATCCACAGTCGGTAACTTTTTGCGAGGCCCCTGTGGGCGCGAGGCCGTCGGCGGACATCGCTGACGCCTAGCGACGCCTCTGCCGTAAGCCTTTTTGATACTTCTGTTATTTGAGGTAAAAATGCAATATGTACTTTATTATTATGTATTAAAAAGAGATAAAATGAAACAACAATAAACCAAACTAAAAAATGTGAAACAGTAAATCACTCTCGCAGATGTATCTTATGTTAGGGTGTGCGCCACACATCTCCGCACCTTAGAGCAGTAGTCACTGGGTGAATCAGAATAGAAATCATTACTAGATGACTTAGACTAAATGGTCGAATAAAATTGAAAGTAAACATTTGATACCATACCATTTGGAATTAAAAAGTAAACGCCAAAGATACATAAAATTAGAAGAGTTCTCTCCGAGAGACCGAATCTGATCTATATCTGTAACGACAAATATTAATATTGATTTAACATTAATTGTTTGATTTAATTTATCGATATAGCACTGTGTCTATACTGTACTATACTATACATCAACGAGCTTATCTCTGCACTTTGACTATAAAAACTATGTTATCAAATATATAATCAATTTGAAGCAATAAAAAAGTAATACCTATTGTACTTATTGACATTGAAGATGTTTTATGTCATTATCAAGATCAATTAATATAAACAGAGTAATATTATTATTTAACATCAGTATTAAATAAAATCAAAAATAATGAGTATTTTCAAGCTATATGTTTGAATTGATATAGTATACCAGTTCGAAAAAGTATTAAGCCAAACTAAAGTAAAGCGTAACTAGCCAAACAATAAAAGCCAAAAGAACAACAATAACAAAAACTGTAACTACATCTATCAAATTTTAGCAAAACATACTAACATTTTTTGCTAAATAATATTCCTTCAACCACGCACCTTTATCTGCAAACTAATCGTTTCGCATATGTTTTTTACAAAACAAGAATTTCGAACTCATTGTTGTTCATTTTCATCATAAGATTTTCTTGTGCAAAATAACCTAATTTCATACGTTGAACCGTAAAGTTCCAATGCCGAAACCCTTACTACCAGAAAGTCAATAGAGATCAGACAATAAAAAATGGAAGACTTGACATTTAAACAATGGCTAAAGCCTCTGTTAGATTTGATGAATTGTTAATACCATGTTTCCACTGCTTACTTAGTACAGGTAACTTATTAGGACGTGTGCGAGTTAGGCTAAGTTGATTCTAAACCAAATGGGAGATTTTTTGGGATTGTTTGCACTGCACACATTCAGCCATTTATCAACACGTATCGACACATCACTAAATTATCGGCACAACTTAGAATTTTCCTCTTTTAGAACGCAACTTAGCCTAACTCGCACACGACCTTTAGTAAGTAAATTTGATTAACCATACAAAGGGATACAGTGATGAAAATTAATCAAATTAAATTAGAACAAAAATATCGAATGCAACCCTTAAAAATAAATTTCCCACAAGGAAATTACTAAAATTTTAAATATGTGTCATATATTTTATATGGAAAATATAAACAAACAAAAGTTGAGCTATTAACAAACGTACTGAAAAAGTAGATATAATACAATAATTATATATTTAATTTTTCAAGCTCAAAAAGTTAATGGCCAAATTAAGGAAATCATATGTCCTTTGTTTACAAATCGAATGTTAAAAATTACATGCTCCAAATACCACTTTAATAAAACCGGGAAAATATTTTAAAAGTAGTACAAGTTTTCAAATTTTAATATTGAGAAATAACTGGAACTGTTATTAAATAACAGACCATATACCTAAAATCCACTAAAGCTAATATCACTACTGAATGCCACTTCTTTATAGTTATAATAATCGATTTAGGACGACTCAGTCGGCCGTCCTAAACGTGATGCTACACCTGCTACCTATAGATCTCCACATCAAAAATATGGTTTGTAACAGCGCTGTTAGACTGAAAGCAACAGGCGTCTGGACGGAGCGAACATATGGACATAGTCGAATTCTAGGTACAGTTCCAAACTGTCTGTATATGATGACATCAGATTATCTGAATCTGTGCATAGATTTTGAAAGGATTTTTCAGACAATACTTCCTTCAAGAATTAAATGGAAAAGGAAAAATTTAGAAGCAAACTAGAATATCTCAACATATACAGATGGTTCGAAAATGAAGTGTGGGGCAGGAGTAGGGAGCTTCGCACCATAATTCTTTAATGCTTTATAATAAGGCTACGGTTTTTCAGACTGAAATTCTAGCAATTAGAGAAACCTGCCGGCAAATTGCAAGTCACATCGAGGACAGATGTAGTGTTGCCATTTTCATTGACATACAGGCAGCAATCAAAGCCCTTGAATCTTTTACAACAAAATCAAAGATGATAAAGGAATGTAAAGAAGCAATTGACTAGCTAAATCGGTTGGCTGATATCACCCTCATCTGGGTTCCTGGACATAGAAATATTGTGGGGAATAAGAAAGCTGACAGTTTAGCATGCTCTGGTGCCTCCCTGGATGTGTCATTTGCAGTACCGGTTTATATTACCCTAGGGACCATTACGAAAAGTACCTTCCTCTACTTTCTGCAAATGGCCAATAATAAATGGAAAGCACTTAAGTCATGTGTGACTTCTAGGTTAACATGGTCAACATATCATAAAAATAGATCCTCGGAACTTATCAAAACAGACCGCGTGAACTAATATTTTTTTTATCAATAAATAATAAATGTTTGCTATATGCCGTTCGTAAATACCTAAGCTAATTTCTTAGAGCTAAAACTGAAACTTTTGTGGAAGAGAGGGTATAGATACCTATATTTAGAATTTTCTGAAATTCAGGTGTCCAAAAAAAGTTTCGTCCAAAAAATTTTTAATAAAAAAGCCTTAATAACTTGAAAACGATACATTAAAATTATATAATATGATTCTATATCAGTATTCAGTTTATTAAATATAATTTCAACTAAAGAAAAAGCTGAAGAAGTAAGAAAGCTTCAGAAACTATGGTAGTTAATATTTTATTTGTTGAAATATGGTGCAATCATGTCCGATGCAGGAAAACTCCATTTACGACAAAATTTTTGTAACAACTTGTTTGGCATCATATATCTCGATAAACATTAAATATGGACACATATCAACCTCATCCCTCTTGCGGTCGACTTTATTTATTTATTAGATCAAAAAATTAGATCAGAATTTTAAGTGAGTTACATAGAAAACTCGGAAAATATATATACCTAATTGAGTATTACTAAGATTACTTGTTTGTTTTATTTAAAGTAATAGTCAAATTAAATTTTTCTTGGAATATAACTTTAGAGGGGTCAGGGTCAGTAAGATCCTTATATTTTTTTAGTTCATATTACTGTAAATTAAAGTCTTACTATATTATTGTATTATTTTTTATTATATAGTTATTATATAGTATATTATTAATACAATATGTATTTATTTTATAAATGGCTTTACAAGATATTTTAAAACTTTAACCCATTGCAAAAAAATTGAAAAGTTATATGATTGGTGTTAGAAACATTAGTTCGAGGAGTACCGACATAGTATATCACATAAAACTTCCGATTATAATTTTTTTTAATGTAACACCTTAACATTTAAGTTCAAATGCGGTTTGGTGTACAAGAAGGCCACCACCTAACACCTTAGGGATATATATAGAAATTATTACAATATTGTTTTACATTTTTTGCGACTTAATAAAAGATAATTACGAAATATTTTTTTAACATTTTTATACTTAAGTAAATAATGTAAATAATTTCACACAGAATTCGTTATGGCAAATCCAATTTGACTTGAACGAATTCAACTGTCCACCACAATCGCATGCATGAAGGCCAAATCTAATTCCAGGTGCAGTGAAATAAACAGATTTATGAGATTTGTACTAGAAGAAATGTAGGGATGAAATACGAAAAACTACAAAAGAACATATTTATTGGGTTGAAGGAAAAAATATCGAATTACCGCGTTGTCCTTACACAATTTCGTTGAAAACTATGAAACGCCTGTGGATGTGTGTATGTTTGCTATAGTGCTGTGTAAACATAAGGAGCGTTGCAAATTGAATTTATGCGGCTTGTTAGAATGCAATTAGCTGCAAGGCACATTTTCATTTTACTGATTTGCAGGGATGCTAACAAAATAATAAGTAACATTACATTCCTTGGTTGATAGAACGTCATGAATATTTGATTTAATTATAGGACAAAAAAAAATGAATTTTGGCTCATTTTAAATTGTTTACAATACAACAACATAAAAAAAGTAACATTTTTAGTAGTAAAATTGAATGCACATTTGCGAAAATTCAATCGAATTTAGCAATTTTAAACACTAAGTGCAAAAATGATAGAAAAAAATTAATGAAATTACTGTATACACACTAAGGGGTCCTTTTAGTGTTACAAATAAAGAGTGCTGCTTCAATTTCTTTACAGAAATCGAATGAATGTATTTATATCATTGAAGTGTGTATAATCATTTTAAATATACAAGTGAAACATAATTAATTTAAATTTTAAGTCTAGAAGTTTGTTCTTATTATTAATCTCTTTACAATATTACAGTTTTAAAACTAAAGACAATTTTGCAGTTTTCTTAAATATCTAACAATAATTAGAAAAAAAATTCTTATAATATTTTTAAATCTGTGTTACACATATATACAAATTACTTATAAGTTTATATTGTATTATTAAGATAGAAAGGTGACATATATTTAAAAAAGTTAGATCAAAATAATTAGATACTTATTTTAAAATTAGTGCACATAACATATAAGTACTTCCTTAAAATTATACAAAATAATATATATATTGAATTTAGCAGCAAAAATTTGAAATAAAATACATTTAGATAATAAAGAAATAATAGTATTTTATAAAAATTACAAAAAAAAAAAATAAGTATATACTTCATAAATTTAAATAAAAAAAATTAGGAATAAAAATAATAAATATATCTTAAAGATTTACACATACTTTTTACATTAATACTAAAAACATAAAATGACACAAAAAAAAATATAGTTATTAATTAGTCACATCTAACAAATTCTACTTCTTCCAGATAGAGTGGATCTGTTTCTTCCTCGCTTGAAGAGGTAGGTATATTAATTATCGGTACCAATTTATTATCTATTGATATTCTAGTTACGCTGTGTAATGCTTCGTTGGATGTTATCCGCAATTTCAGACCGCTCGAACTACGCGGCGTAACAACCAGTGTTTTCTTAGTTGCATATGATTTTGTTGACACATTGGTTTTGGGTCGTTTTGAACGTGAACTTCGGGGTTTACGCTTATAATCATCAAATGAATCAGTTGAGGATGAAGATGTTGGACGAAATCGTATAGCAGCACAAGTGCGACGACTTCGTTTCATGCCTATTTGTGATACTTCCACAGTCGTTGCATTACAAACAGTTTTACTTTCTTCAGTTTCAATTGTTTCTACATTAAGAGTAAATATTTTTATAAGCCAATTAATTATTTTTTATTATAATTCAAAATTACCTTTTATTTGACTTTTAAGCTTTTCCGTTAAGAACTTTTCATAGTTTAAAGGTTTTAGTAACACTTTTGGATTATTTAGTTTTGCATCTAATACAGCAGACACTGTTAATCTTTGTAAATTCACTTTTACTTGACGCTCTAGACATTCTTTTTTAAGTATCTCTAAACGATCGTATTCTGTAATTAACTTGACGTTCATCTCTATGTTTTTGTGTACACCTTTAGGTTGTTCTTCATTACTGTGATTATCATACAGATTTATCAAAGCATCATTATTGGTTTTAGACTCCTAAAAAAAATTTTTATTTATTAGAAAAATAATATTTTTAAACAGTAAAAATTCGGTTGAGCAGATACTCATTATGAGCCAACTTTTAGTCGCTCAAGACGTGTCCCAAGCCAAAAGGGATTAGTTGTGCTTAATATTATTTAAAACAAAGAAGTCTGGTATTAGAAAAATTATCACCCGAAATCTTCTAAGTATAAAAAAAAATGTGAGCCATCCCATCTACAACCTGCAATAATTACTTCACCGTTTGTCAGTTAATGCAAATGTTTTTATCTAATAAATGAGTACTTTAAAAATTTGTACATGGAATGCAACATCCCGATGTGGATGTAATGCTTTGCTCAGAAACACATCCAATAAAACAAAATTTTTTTCTATTCCTGGTTATTTATTCAATAAAACCAATCACCCTGATGGGAAAGCATATAGTGGTATAGATATTTTGGTACGAAGACGTCTAAAACACAATTTTCTGGGTACATATATTCAGAATTATATGCAAGCCATATATATGCACTAGACGTAATCTCTCCTGAGCAGCCAATATATCGGCCTGCAGATAAAAATAAAATATCAGACCTAATAGACTTCCCCGTGATCAAAGGCATAAGCAGAAATTTTATCTCAACATACACAAGCTGCGATTTTTTTTCTGGCTATTCTCCAGTTATATTTTGTTTACTTGATGGTTCTCAGTTACATAATTGTTCCTATAGCCTTACAAGTCCTAGAACAAACTGGCTAAAATATAAAAAGTAAATTAGTTCACACATACACACAAATTACAAGATAAAGAACAAATCTAATATTAAGGACGCAACCTCGGTTTAAAACTCTATTCTGATTTGAGCAACAGAAAACTCCACCCCTAAAGGCAACAAAGTTTACACATCCAATAAAGAACTTACAAATAGTAACAAAGACACTTTAGTTTTAGGTTATGGCGGCTGGCAAAAGTGTGGGTTCCTTTCAGCGAAAATTTTATTCAAGAATGCCCAAAGAAGACTTAGATCTGCATTAAGTAGAGAAACGAAAGTCAGGCAATATAATTATATACACAACATATGTCCAAACGGCAAAAACATTCATCCTTGTGGAATGTTAGCAGAGACATAAATTCTTCTATTGAATCCGATTCTCCAATAAGAAACTCTCTCGGAACCTGGGCGCGAAGCGATGACGAAAAATCTAACGTATGTGCTGATTACCTAAAAGAGGTGTTCCAACCAATCCTGCAACAGGACTTTATGACTTTCCCACTCAGCGTCTACCACATTAATATCACGGCCAATGATCATATTCAAATAATCACCAACAAATTAGATTTCAAAAAGGTACCGGTATATGCTAACATCTCACGCATCATGATAAAAAACTTACCCATTTTGGCCTTAAATTTTATCACATGACATATTAATGCCATTATTAAATTTGGCTTTTACTTAACAGAATGGAAAACATCCATGATTATTATGATTCATAAATCAGGTAAAGATCCCACTGTTTTTAAAGCTGAAACCATTCCTTAACGGTCAAAACCTAATACCGTCCCACCAGTTTGGTTTTATGAAAACGCATGGAACTATTGAGTAAGTGAATCGCTCATATATAAGATACGCTGCCTAGTACCAACAAACGTCGACTCAGTTTTAGAATCGTATCTATAGAACAGAAGTTTTAAAATCAAATGTATGAGACGCTTTGCTCCCATCTCATAAATAAACAGAAGTAGCAATTGATGCGTGTTAAAAACTACTTTATTTTGAAGATGTCTTCATCGGAACAGAAAGTTAAGCATGTATAAATTATTGGAGTTATTAATATAGTAGATGAAATTAAGCAATCCAAACTGTATGCATATATGAAAAAGAATATTCTTAAGAATTACAGGATTATTTCCAAATTACTACTACTACTTTTTTTTATTGTATTTTTATCTGTAAAATATATATAATGTTATAATTGTTTTAAAACTTACCACATCTTCTATAGGTTGGTTCATGTCATCAGGCTTTTCTGTATTTGAGATCATTAATTCTTGATATTTACTTATATTCAGACGGTTAGAGTTTTTGGCATTTTCGCACGAATTTTCATTAATACTTTCATTTTCAATAGCAACAGTTTTATGTTCACTATTTCTAAATGATATAGGCTTTTTAGTATGAATCTGTTTTTGATTATTTTTTATATTCTCGTTTTCACTTATATTGTTATGTTTAGTATTGTTTGCATTATTAATTTCATCTGTAGGAAACAGATCAATATTCTTAATATTGTCGGTTTTATTGACAATCATTGTCACATGATCATTTGAAGTGTTATTATCATTGACGATATCATTTGCGGTGTCATTGTCATTATTACCGACAGTCGTACGATCACTTGTAAGGTTATTGTCCTTATTGACGGTTTCATCGTCATTAAAATCGTCACTTTTATTTACATTACTACTGTTATTACTATTATCATTACCAATTTTGCAGCCAATAACACTTTTGCTGTCATTAATAGTTCCATTATTGTTAACAGTAACTTTATTATTCACACTGACGTTATCATTAGCAGTGTAGTTATCATTGACAGTCTCATAGTTTTTACCAGTGTCACCGTCGTTGACATTGTTAATGGAATTCAAATTCGTTTCATCATTGGCATATGAATCTATTTTCTGATCAATAGTGTTTAATATTTCAGGAACTTCATCTATAGTTACATTGGGGATTTTATTTGCTACAACCAATTCAAGTTTCATATTAACTGCCTCCAAGTTAGTAGTAACATTTTTAGTTTTTCCAATTTCTGAAAGTTTTCTCTTTTTCCTCGTTGTAGCTTCTTCTAAATTTTTATTTTTCGAATTCCTTTGCTCAGATTTATTTTTATTCTCTTGAATAGAGTATTCATTTTCACCAAAGTTTTCATGTTGTGTGTTACATATGGTATTTTGTACAATTAGTCTTTTTTCTTCTAGAAATTCATGTCCTTCGTTTGTCAAACTCCTACTCTTATTCTCATCAGACAGTGGTATGGATATGGCATGATTTTCCTGAACACATGTATGTTCATTTTCCTTTGAAGTAATGATATTCGCTTTCATATCATTTTCATTCAGGCACATAGATTGGATGCCATCTACTTTACTATCAGTAGATAACGTTTTTGTAGTTGTCAAAATTTGTACTAAAGTTTCCTGAGATTTATGTTTTATATTTTCTTCTTTTGAATTTTCTTCACATATAGTATCCTCACATATATTTTTATTGGCAACATTATGTTTATTTTTTGTTATATCTTTACTTTTAAATGATGCGGTGGAATTTAGATTATCACAATTATTTACAGGAGAGGGTGTATAGGACTTGCGGTTAAGAGTTTCATCATCTTCCAACATTACCTAAACAAAATAAAATAATTTAAATTAATACATAAATGAAATACAAAAACAAAATAAATAATAAAAATGACACAAATAACCAATTTCGAAATTATTGAATGTGATGAAATAGTGAGGTCTGATTAGTACTTAAATAAAGAAACAAAAATTACTATAAAAAAATAAACTAAAACAAATAAAAAAAAACGTTACAAGTAATTTTAAACAAATTATAAATTTTATCAGAATATAACTTACCACTTTTTCTTCTCCCGTTAAACCACTAGGCAAACCTGCAAATGTAAAGCATATATATAAAAATATCCAACTTATGTAATTAAAAAAATGCATTTAGAAGTCTAATGTTAAGAATGAAACATATTTTATATAAATAGTGATATATATATATATGAATTAAAGTATATATAAATATAATTAATATAACAGAAGTAAAATAATAAATAATAAAATAAAAACAAATATAAATTAAATTATAAAATATATAAAAATAAATTTATATAATCATCGTAAATGTATATTTTGGTATATAAGAATAAATTAATATATAAATATGAATAATTCACAATATCATTTTTAAACATTTGTTTACTTTTAAAAAGTTTAAAGTTTTAGTTGACGATATGTAATTTTTATGTAATATTATCATTTTATATAATATTATCTATAATATGCTATATATTATATATAGTAATATGTCGTTAAATATCAAGAAACAATTATATGATATATAACTACATATTTTTTTATAATATACTTTTTTATAATAATATAATACCTTTTAAATAATATATATATAATATTTTATAATAATATCAAGAAACCGATTTTCAGTTAATTTTTTTTTATTCTTTATTAGTCTCTTGCTTTTTTTTTACCAATAGTAATTAAAAGTATAAATATAAAACCCTACCTATTTCTTCTAAAGATTGTGCATCCATTTCGCCAGATGTCGGTCTACTAGTGTTTGAATTTATAATAGATTCAGAAACTATATCTTTTTCATCTGTTAAATTAGGTGATGCCAACTTTAATTTTGTATCAACTGATGCATTGATATGTGAAATATTTTCCTTTTCTTCTTCGTTATCATTACTCGCCAACACATTATCTTCGGTATCTTTTAAAATAGATTCAACTGTAATATTTTCAGTTACTTGATCACTTAAGTCATTTATTTCGCTGTTTTGAATTTTTTCTAACGTAACCGATAGACAGGTCTTCACACTGTCGTTACTGTTAACAGTAACGAAGGTTTGGTCCGCATCCATCATTGATATGATTTTATCATTTGTTATTTCCATTTCTTTAAAAATTTTGTCTCTGCTGCTGTTTTCCGTTTGTTTAAGTTTATTACTATCGTCGTTACCTACTTCATCAACTTCATGATTCTTTTGTTCTAGTGCTGCCTCTGAATTTAGCTTCTCTGTATTGTCAAGTGGATGACGTGATTCTTCTTTTTTGAGTTTTTTATTATCTAAATCAACTTCCTTCTCGCTCAATTTTTTCCTTTTACTAGTCTTCTTATATATGCACTCGTTATCTTGTGTATGGCTTTCTATTAGTTTTTTATCCTTATTTTTATGTGCTTCTAATGTAATACTGTGTTTCCGTTGTTTGCGTTTTCGTTTTTCTTTTTCACACGTTGTTATTTCTACGTGAATTTTTGTTTCCATATTTATTGAATCACAATTTGTGGAAATATTTGAGTGCGTCGTTTTCTTCAGATCACCCAGTTTCTTAAAAATACTCAAAGCATTTTCGATTTCGTTTGTAGCAATCGTTTCAGATTCGACTTTTTTCAATTCCAGATCATTAATATCCCAAACATCTAAAAATGATTTAAAGCCACTTGTATTATTACAAAATGCTGTGCGTTCTTTTAGTAGTTCTGTCAGAT